AACAAAGAGGGACACTTGACCATTTGAGTGCCAAGAGACACTGCAGCCACCACAATGAATAGCATCAAAGACTCCACTTGGAAATGGAAGCCTTCGGCTCGCAAAAGGGCTAACCACCACAGGAAAGCCACGCTCGATGGCGATTTGTCCCAAGTCCACTAAATCATCTTTCAAGCCGAGCGTGAGAGTTAAAACATCCTTTTCGAGTAGAGTAGCCACAAAGCTTGAGTCTTTACATCCCACATCAAGAACAACACGTATGTTCTTTCCCCACTCGATATCCGGCGCCATCTAAAAACTCCCACATATCAAAATAGATGCGAAAAATTGTGCTTGTTCCAAAAAAATGGCAAAGGTCTAATTTTGAGGACCAAATAAGCATTAACACAAAAAATAGTAGACTATACAGAAAATACACAAGCATTAAACAATTTACTATATTTGGAACAACTTATAGATGAATTCATTGAAAAATTATCTTCCATTACACAATTTTAAGGAGGATGACTCACTTCTTCTATGGATTCTAAATAGTGCTGAACCCCACCCTGGAGTACCGACTGATTGTGGGGAAAAGTAATATACTCCTTAGATTGTACCAACCAATCTTGTGTCTTAACAAATGCAGCTAATTTCGGATGGGCAACGTTTTTGTACAATATCTGCAAGAAACTCAGAATTATCAATACATCAATCAATCAGCAAGCCGTTAAAGGGTCGGCTATATAATCACATGTCCCCATGGTGCTCGATCAAAGCACATATCCTCATTCAAATTTAAATATTTTAAATCATTTTTTATTGTCTCATTCCAAGTTTTCCTTTGAATTATCAACAAATAATCCAAATAAATAAAACTGAAAAAAAAAAGACCTGTATCGAGATAGATATACCTTAAATTTGCTTTCGGGCCATTTCAATGGGGTCTCATAACCATCACGAGGAAGAGGAACGAGACAAACGACAGCCGATTTAGGACAGCTCCTCTCATGGTGCCTATAACTCTGTGACCTCCCAGCAGAACTTTCTATATCTATGCACGGAATGTAGTTGTGCTTGCTCCTCGTATTGCATAATTTCCAAGCATACTGTTTTCTAGGCTCGAATAACGGGCCAAACTTCTTTGTCTTTGTGCTTTTCGAGCTTCCTTTATCCTCATCAACAATATTTTCATCCAAATCTTCCTTATTAACCCAATCAGCATCCAATTCCCCATTATTATCTTTACCATTATCCATATTTTGGCCTTCTCTTTCATCCCCTTCATCATCATCTTCCTTCTCTTTAACACCTTCACCCTCCTCAGATCCTTTATTTTCTTGATTTTTATCTATTTCACCCCCTTTTTTCGACATTTCCAAATCCGCACCACTAACTTTCCCCTCAGATTCATCACTCCCCTTTTCTAGGGTTTTCACAGAGTTCAATGGAGAAGACCCATTAATGATTTCTTTTTCTTTTTCATCTAACTTAGAGTTAAATCTCTGTTTATCACTTTCTTGACCCTTTTCTCGATCTTTCTGGTTAGGATGCAGTTGAGAGCCGCTAACCTTAGTATTTGATGCTGGCACTTTCTCAGCTATATCATCAAAGGTGTTCCTTTGGGAGGTCACTGAAAAACTGGAAAAAACAGACCACACGAACACGAAGCACAAGCCCATGATTACAACTACAGACAGCTTTGCATAGAGCCCATATGATTGGTAAGAGCGACTCACTTGGCGCCCAAATCTTGCTATAGCCATGCCCAGGTTGCAGCTAAAATAGCATAAAAAATGCAATAAATCTAATTATTATGAAGGATTTAACTTATCCGTAGCAGAAATGGAAGGAGGGAAAATGGGTTGTAGCAACTAGCAAACAGGGTGAAGTTCTAAACTGCAAAAGTGTGGAATTGAAGGAAAGATCCAAGACCCTGAATTTTTGAAGCGCAAAAGAGCACGAATTTTTTCCTGAAAAATCTGTTCTTTTTCATTAATTTATTTATGATTAATGATTGATGTTGAAACGAGAATCAACAGTGAAAAAAAACAAGTAAAAAAAAAGATTAAAATCGATATCATAAACCCGTGATTGTGATGGAATAAAGCTTAATAAAAAAGAGAAAAATCTCAACATGTACTCTCCACCAAGGTTATCAAAATCGCGACTTTGAGTCGTAGAATCGCCGATTCTACGACTCAAAGTCACAAAATCGATTCTAAGTCGCTCAAAATCGCAAAGGCATGTAAAGTCGCTGCAGAATCGGTAGAATCGGTCAAAATCGTAGAATCGGACCGATTCTACGACTTTGACCGNAACCAGATTTTAAAATTGGGCTGCGTTTACGCACTTGGGCTGTTTCTTTTGATTTTTTTTTACACAAATTGGCCCAAAGAAGCATAAATATTCCCTTCCCTTGGCCCAATCTAAAACAAATTAATTAAAATAAATTTAAAAAATACCCAAAAATCCTAAATTCCCTAATTTGAATTCATTTTTCCCTAATTCCCTCTGCTCTTCTGTCACAAATCGCGACTTCTTCACCTCCATCCCTCGCCGGCCGACCGTCGTACTCCGACGTTAAACTNCAAATCCATCTCTCTCTCTCTTCTTCTTTGGCCTCCAATTCTCCATAATCCACAGTTCGCACGCTTGTAGCCTGTGATAGTCTTCGACGTTAAAATGGCTCAGCCTCGACGCCTGCGTCTTCTTCGTCGGAGCAGACTTCTCAGCAATTAAGCTTCATCGCTTTGTTTTTCTCCCGTTTAGAGGTAACCATTTATCCCTACTTATCTCCCTGTAATTTGTTTTTATCATTGTTGGAACAGGGGAAATTCACAGAATCACAGTTTTAGGAACTAAGAAGATTGAATTTTTTGTTGACGCCTTGATAGCCGTGACTTTGGTTCTGACTTTAGAGTTTGGACTATATGTGACGTTTGAATGGCTGTGTCTATGTATTTGTAAGTGCTAACTTTGAAATTTGAACGCGCAGAGTGTTAAAATTTGAATATTTTATATTTTGAAAAACAAGTGGTGGTTTTTTTTAGTATTTTGATACATATTCTTGATGATTACCATAAAACTTGTTAAAATAATTAATTTTAGACGTTTTGAGTANGAGTCTTACGATTTTACGATTCCAATTCTACAATTCCGATTCTGCACACAAAACGATTCTACTTAGAATCTCGATTTTGAAAACCTTGGGAAAAACAGAAGGTCGAGCTCAAACGGTTTTGATATTTGAGATGGGTCTCGAGTTTTTATGTCGAATTTCACTTTTAGTTTTAACTAAACGAGGGTTTAATAATATCGATGTGTTGAGTTAAGTAAAAAATAAAAAAATAAAATATTTTTTTTTTTTTGAATTCACAAGTGATTCGTTTTGTTGAAGGCTGTGAGTTTTGATTGAGCATACTTGTATTCTATTTTTGTTTTTATTATTAAAGTAAACTAGCTAATTTGCACAGATTAATTGAATATCAATCAAGCTCATTTGAATTTGTNATTACTTCAAGACAATATTTGATTATCAATTAAAGTCGAGTTTCAAACCATTTTTGGTCGTGCATCATGCTTTGTAACATAGAGATGCTGTAACATGATAACACGTGATGTTAATACTTAACAAATCACATATAACTTTTTAAAATCAAACCAACATGTATTTGTCATTTGTGATACTTCATAGTTTATAGTTTATCTCAAACAATTACGAGTAGCTTTATTCAACATTTATAACACAGATGGAAACTCAAATAATAATACATCTTATTATTTTTGTATAAATAAATCATAGCTCTATTTAAATTTAGGAGATGGAGAAAAAAAATTGTCATTTCTTGATTGCTTAAAATTGAATTCAAGTGTGGATTTATTATCAGGAATTATGGAAATGATTGGATTCCTAGTTTCAATCTCAACTCATAAGCGTCCAAAGTCAGAGTCTTGGACAATATCGTACACAAATTAATGTATGAGTACATATACTTTTTTAATAAAAATCCATAATTACACTCTAAAATGTCGTATATTTTTATATTATTTTTTAACATATGACATATTAGTTTGAAGCATTCATATCTGTTAGAAAAAATATGACCGCATAAATTACAACAATCTCATGTAACTAAAAACAGAAAGCTAAGAGATAGCAAACAAA